TTTTTTTTTTTTTTTTTTTTGTTAATTATTAGCTGCACTCTTTAATGGAACAATGGTAGATTATTATTGCTCCTTTTCAAAGATCCCATTAAAAAGGTTATTATACACTGCACGGGAAGTCAGGTAAATTAAACTTAAATTGCTGGAAATTAAGTTTCAAATGGTTATGTGCTGATGGAGAAAGAATATTTTTTTACACCTTGAGGGGTCATTGTTTGAAATGTGCCAACATTGTGGCGGAAAACATGACTTATGCCGTGTTTCTAATATCAATTTGAGTGGCTATTTATATTGCAGACGATCTTCTCCACTGGTAATAGCTTTATATGCCTAAATACAGTAAAGAAGCTTTTCAAGTGTTTTCTTAGTGTTCGTTGGACTTTATGACTGCAATAAGTCGCTTGATTGGGAAGATCCCGCAGAGATTTCACTTCAGAAGCCTGGCGAATTGCAAGCCCACATGAAAAAGCCCTTTTTATTGGAACCAACTACACTTAACTTTCCACAACGTTCTTAATCGGTTTAGCTTTTCCACCAGCAGGGCTCTGATCTGTTTGGCTTCGGAAATATTTCGGGGTTGTTTTAATCTCCTAATTTATCTGCTTTGTAGAGTTGGAGAGCAGGAGTGAGCAATGTGCGACCAAAAAAAAATACAGCCTTCTCCCAACCCGAATGTACATATTGTAAATACGTCTCTTTTCTCTTTATTTATACCCTGCCAACAGAATTATGTCAATCAGCAGGAACCGGAGGAGGGAGGGGGTGGGAGAAGGATTCTCTTTTAAATGAAACACTTTTCTCCCTCCTCCTGCTGTCTAGCCACTACACCACTTAACGGTTTGCTTTTTAATAAACCCTGGGATTATTTTGTAAGCAAATGCGGCCCAGAAATCAATGGGAATATCCCAAGAAATATGGTCGGAGACCACATAGTTCAGGGCATAGACACTGCAAGCTGTATCAGCGCCCGTGAGGTTTAGATTTGTCGCTACTCATGCCTGGCTGCCTTTAAAGACATAAAGAGACCAAACCTTTTCACCCTCCCTCCCCCAGTGATTTACCTTCAAAATTTAGCCAGTAACCCAGGACAGAGAAAGGGTGGAGGTGTCGGGATGGAGGGAGGGGGGATTTAAGGGAACTTTTTAAAAATAGCTATTAACATAATAGCAGTGATCAGTTTTCTGTCAGGCACACAGCTCCCTGTCATCGGATGCGTTTCTGAGTATCTGCTGCAAACAAACAGCTTGTAACTGGTAAACAAATGCTATTGTCCTTCTCAATCTAATGATGAGGGACATTTGAAGAACCATATTTCCCGCCACCAAAGCGGAGTCAAAGATCAATATGTTTTCACCCAATTTTCTCCCCTTTATCCTTCCCCCCATAAATATCTCTAGACTTAAGTGGAGCCACCTTTGCAAACCCAGAGGGCTCCAGCCTCACTCCCAGACAGTCTCAAACAGCAGCAATAAGCAAATAGCGAGAGGCCAGTTGCAGTTAGTGAATTTTATTTTTGTTCCTGCCAATAAAAATAAAAAGGTCAAAGTGACCACAGCCCAACGCTGCGAAAAGTCAGGCTTTGCCAACACCGCTCTGGAAGGAGCTGTATTTCTTATAAGCACTGCATCCCCGCGTTTTGGGAAAACACATCTTTACCCTTATTTCCAGGGGCTTTTACTTCCACAACAAGACTCCTCACTCAGAAAGCATTACAGGGGGGGGAAAAAAACCTAGGGTTTTTGTTGCATGATCACAATGTGTCTGTTACTCACTCGTTTCATTATATCAGGCATTCAAACTTCTCACCCAAAATCTGCATGCGGCGCGAGTCCTTGCAGGTTTTCTAGGTTTTTTTTTTACTCTTACACAAATATTGCACAACTTTCTAATCAAATGTCTGAGCTCTTTGGCTCCTGCGAAGCAGCCAACTTCAGGCTGCTTAATGTATTCCTCTCACTCTCTTTCTCTCTTCCCCTCCTCTCACCCCCCCCCCCTTCAATAGACAGTCAACTTTCTCTTTTAATCCCATATTCCCCCTCTTTTTCATGTCAATAACGCAGACCTACGTAGATTTGGGTCCACTCCATGCACAAAGGAAAAGTCTGCAAGAACAAATATAATAGCTACCAGTCAGAAAAGGGGAGGGCGAACAACTACTTCCTTTACATGTTGTTTCCTTGAATTATAAGGATTACGGTCAGTCGACGGCTCGTTGCAGCGGTGGCATGAAACAATCTTGGCTTTGCTGCTGTAAACACGATGTTTAAAATAAATTAGCTCGTAATAAGATACCAGTTTCAGACGTACTTAACCCCTGTCAGGGAGAGTTCTGCAGTGACCATGTAATTATGTGTAATTCTAGAGTAGGAGCAGACCCAATCAAGTCTATGGGAGTCTTTATTAGAAGTCGAGTTACTTTCTTTGCATAGAATAGAATAGAACAGAATAGAGAGAAGGAAGGAAGGAGTTCCTGCAACTCAAACCGATCAATGTTTCATTTAATTGTTTAGTAAGTTTCTGTAGAGCAGGCTTACATTTCCACAGCCCCAGAGGTAGGGCAACATATTAAAATCCACGTATACCTCTAGTGCACAGAGATCTGAAGAGCAGTGCAATAGCCACTGCGAACCCCACCTACTGCTAATGAAGAAAAGCGAACCTTAGAGCCACGGATCCCAGAGCCCGCTCCGCTCAGGGGGGCTTTCCCCCCACTTGCAGAATGACAGCGACTTTCGCTTGCCTTCTGCAAGGCACTTCACTTGATTCCTCATTACCGTCCATGAAGAGATGTTCCAGTCGTGGGGACCGACCTCGATGGAAAGCATGATCAAAGATAAAAGCGGGATCGTGCCTCACTTTACAGGCAATAGACCCACCAAACAAGAGCGTCCCCTGCTTTAAAAAAAAAAAAAAAATTCTTCATCGGTGACAATCAATAAAGGACAGCTCTTGACCGCAACTCAGCGCAGCCTTTAACTAGGAAGGGCCGGGCATGGATTTGGTATTAAGCCTAAAACGCAAGAGGGCACAATTCGGTGCACAGATCTGGAGCTAGCGGACTATTTAGCCCGGGATAATCGGGCTACTTCGATTCCCATTCATCTCCCAGCCTTGCAACTCTTGTACAGAATAAATGAAAAGCGGAGAATCTGAGGAGGCGGGCGCGTGCTACTTTCAAAGGAAACACGCTCTCTGCCAATCTATGCTAATTAGATAAATATGAAAAATAAATGACCAAAATTAACTCTCCCCCAACACACACCCGCGCGCGCCGAACCTCCCACCCTAACCCTAAGCAAAGGAAACAGATGAGATCCACTCCCCTCAGGCATTCATTACACACATAAAGAAATAAAAGTTTCTTTACAAATCCCAAAAATGTCCCCCGATCTGTTATAGATCATTGGCAGGCGCCAGGGGTTAAACTTTGTCGGAACAGAGAGGATTAACTTTCTTTTTTCCCGCCCACACAGGATATTTACATATATATCTATATTGCTCTCTGCGTGTGTGGGTGTGTGTGTGTGTGGGAGGGTGTGTGGCTTATATACATATTCGCTTCTCTCTATATATATATTATATACATACATATATATGTATGTATGTATGTATGAAAGCGCCAGCCGTTCCGGGATTTATTTTTTGCGGATATGTGTTTGGTTAAGGGGGTGCATTTCTGTTGTTTAAAAGGGAGGAAAAAAAAGGGGCCGGCTGGTTTGTTCTGGGGTCCCTCGTGGAATCCAAGCCCCTCATGGGTGCTATTTTGCAATCTCAGGCTCCTGCTATTGGTCAGTCCATGATCAGATGGTTCTATTTCCTTGTGTCCCTTCACTGGCACCCAGCCATCCCCCTTCAGCTAAAACCCAATCTCCGATATACTACTAATAGCTAAACCACTTGGACTATAAAACACAACAAATCATAACGCCAGGGAAGGACGGCTGCCTCCTCCCAATGAGTTCTTATTTTGTCAACTCTACCTTCCCGGTGAGCCTGGCCGCTGGGCAGGAGCCCTTCTTGGGACAGATCCCGTTATATTCCTCAGGATATGCGGATCCTTTAAGACACTACCCCGCTACCTATGGAGCTACTGGAGTCCAGGAGAAGGGCTATCCCTCCTCTTCTTATTACCAGCAAGCTAACGGAGCTTACAGCCGGACCACAGCCTGTGACTATGGGACAGCTGGTTTTTACAGGGAGAAGGACCCTGCCTGTGCCATCTCCAGCCTGGAGGACCAGGGGCAGTTTGGCCAGGATCAGCGGAAGTCAGACTGCGCTCAGAGCAAAAATGTGTTCGGGGAGAGTGAGGAACAGAAGTGCTCCACGCCAGTCTACCCCTGGATGCAGAGGATGAACTCCTGCAACAGTGAGTTACTCTTCTCTCTCTCTCTTTTTAATTTCTCCTCCCCCTTTTCATATTTGCACACACACACACACGCACGCACACACACGCGCGCGCACACACACACAATCAGGAAAAGCTGAACAGGACACTAACTTCCAGAGGACCAGGCAAGCAACGCGCGAGACTCAGTAAAGTTGCTTCTGACACACACACACACACACACACACACACACTAAAACTTTATGCTGCCCGAGTCTTTATCCCACCCCCCACCACCACCTTCTCTTCTCTCTTCCTTTCCCCCAACTCTTTCACTAGATCTTTAACCAGAAATAAAACGCCCAACTTTGGGCCGTATCTACCCATGC